ACGGACGGGCCGGCCGGGGTCCCCCGACGGGGGACGGCCAGCCCGGCCACGCCTCGCCGGCCCCCTCCCCCCGCCGAGCCCCCGCTCGCCGCTTCAGCGACAGCTCAGGTTCCCTCACCCCACCGGGGCACCGGCCTCCTCACCCAGCTCCCCCACCACCGCTGCTGCTGCTGCCACGGTCCCACAGTGACCCGGGCATCACCACCTCCAGCGACACCGGTGAGCCCCCACCGCAAGGTCTGGGAGAGGGCCAACCTTTGGAGTTAGAGGGCCAGTGATGCCCGCTAGGATTTGGGACATTGTGGAGGTCCCTGAGGAGGAAAAAAAGGTGAAACTCCTGCAGTAGACACTTCTTAGGTCACCTTCTAGAAACACATCAATAGCCTAGTGCCTAAAAGTAAAGGATTTGGCTTTTGGAACCCAATCCCACAGCTCCCAGCTTGGGCTAGTTACCTCCCCTCTCCAAGCCTCAGTTTCTCACCTGTAAAATATGTATAGTAATAGTACCTCAACCACAGGAGAGATGCAGGTCAAATGCCTGGCACTGGCACAGAAGTGCTCACCATTACCATTATGGGCCAGGGAGGAGGCAGCAGTGAATGATAGCACCTTAGTCCCTGTCTTGGTGGATTGTATCATCTAGCTGCTGGTAGAGGTGGGCAGAGATGATGCCCCCTTGGTTGGGACTGGAGTGTGAGAGCTGCGCTTAAGTTCTCAGGAGGGCGGTGAGAGGAGTGGGCGTGTCTACTGAGCCCTCCCACTTAGTCCCTGTCTCCCTCTCCTTCCCAGCTGATTTCAGGGACCTTTATACCAAAGTGCTTGAGGAAGAAGCTGCTTCCGTTTCCTCTGCAGACACAGGTCAGCCCTGTGGTTGGTAGGGGAGTGCTGCCTGGCCTTCTTTGCACCTCCCATTCCACCTATTCTCCCTCTTTCTCTTTCCAGGGCTCTGCTCGGAAGCCTGCCTCTTCCGTCTAGCCCGCTGCCCTTCCCCCAAGTTGCTACGTGCTCGCTCAGCCGAGAAAAGGCGCCCTGTGCCCGCCTTCCGGAAGGTCCCCCTGCCCTCGGGCCCTGCACCTGCTCACTCCCTGGGGGACCTGAAGGGCAGCTGGCCAGGCCGGGGCTTGGTCACTCGTTTCCTCCAGATGTCCAGGAAGGCCCCGGACCCCAATGGGAATGGAGCCCATGGGCATAAGCAGGTAGTTATGGAAGCCAGGGAAGACACCCAGAAAAGCCTGGAGCTGCAGGTCAGGCCACCCTGATGCTCTCTCCTGTGGCCCCATCTAGGTGCCCCGGAGCCCGTGGGGCCGGCTAGGCCGAGAGAGCCTCCATCTTCGCAGCTGTGGTGACCTTAGCTCCGGCTCCTCCCTGAGGCGCCTCCTGTCTGCCCGGAGGCTGGAGCGTGGTACCCGCCCCCACAGCCTCAGCCTCAATGGGGGTAGCCGGGAGACTGGGCTCTGACCTGGGCATCCTGCCACACTGAACAGATCCAGATGAACGCTGGGGCCACAGGCACCAGCTAGTTGGGACCAGCACCCCCTTGCACTGGCTGACACAAAAAGAAACCTGCTGAACATCCCCAAAAGTATCCCTTTCCTTCCTACCTCTACGGGCTCCTGCTGCTTGCCTCTGCCCCTCTGGCCTGGGAGAGCTTCTGTCCTGTGCTGCATGGGTATTCAGGCTGTGGGGGAAGATGCCCCTGCTTAAAGTACTGGAGGAGGAAAAATAAAGTCCTGTTCCCTCAGCATGAGAGTAACTCTCACTGGTTCACCAGGGGCCCTGTGGCCAGGGCAAAGGCACGTCCCAGGTCTTTAAACATAGGGGGCTGTGTGCCTGTGCCGTAGGGTGGTGAGGCATGAAGAGTCAGAAAATCTGGGTGGCCTCTCAGCTCTGCCACCACTAGCTGCATGACTTTGGGCAAGTTATTTAACCTGAATTGCCTAATCCGTACAACATTGTGAGGACAAATGTTTGTAAAGCTCTTAACACACTAAGTAAGCCTTCAATAAATTTCAATTTTCCCTTCTCTTCTGGATCATTCTTTTTCACCAATGAAACCTGTTCTATCATTGCTCATATTTACAAAAACTCTCAAGACACTGGTATTTATATCCAGCTTCCACGTGGTATCTCTGCCCCTTTTCATAGGCAGACGTTTTCTCTCTTTCTTCCTTCCACTTCCTGAACATCCGTTCTCTCCAGGCCCACTCCCATCAGGCTCCTTCCCCTCCCTCTCCCCAGGCACTGCTCTTGACAAAGTTTTCAGTAACCAAAGTAACCCAGTGGCCATTTCTCTGCCTGCATTTCATTTGACCTCTAAGAAACAGATAATCAGCCTCTTTCCTCTTGAATTTTTCCGCTTTTTTGTCTTTGAAGACATCATGCTTTCCTGTTTTTCCTTCTGCTCTACCATGTTGGTATGATTTGCCAGCTTTCACACCTCTGTTGGACTGCTCAACACTGGAGGGCCCCAGGGCTCTCCCCTTGGCCTTCTCTTTTCTACCCCACTCTGTGATAGGTGGCCCTATCACGATACCTGGCTTTAAATGCCATCTATGTGTTGGTGGATAACACTCTTCTTGACCTCTCTATGAGCTCCAACCTCCAGTTTGACATCTCTGCTTGGATGTTTAATGGGTGTCTCAGACTCAGTGTGGACACAACTGAACTCTTGATTCCCACTCCCAGCACCTGTTCCTCTTCCAGTGTTCACATCTCAATAAGCAGCACCACCACTCAACCATATGCACAGTCCATAAGCTTGGGGATCACCCTGATTTCTTCTTTTCCCTCATTCAACACATCCAATCCTATTCTGAATTTCATCCATCTCTCATCAATTACCTAGCCCAAGTCACCACTACCCTCTCTCCCAGCCTTTGAATTAATCTATTTCCATTCTTCCTATAATCCACTCTCCACTCAGCAAAGTGATAAGAAACCATGTCACATTAAAGTTCTGCCCAAATCTAATGGCTTTCCATTGTATTTATTTATTTACTATTTCTTTGAAAATAATTTCACCTTTTTTGGGGGGTGGTAATTAGGGTTTGTTTTATTTTGGTGGAGGTACTGGGGATTGAACCCAGGACCTCGTGCATGCTGAGCATGCGCTCTACCACTGAGCTCTACCCTCCCCCTTTCCATGGCATTTAGAATAATCGCCAAACTCCTTATGAGACTGGTCAGGTATAACCTGATCCACTCTCTGCTCCAGCCGAAGTGCCTTGGGCCTTTGCACCAGCTAGCTCTTCACTAAAACATTGCGTCCTATAGCTGTTGCCTTTGCCTAATTCAGGTCTTAGTTCCAGTCTTACCTTGTTGAGCACTCCTCATTCTATTATGCCACCATGTTGTTCTGAATACTTATCACTATCTAAAATTATCTTGTTTTTGTTTGTCTGTGTCCTCCCATGGAACGCAGGCTCCACAGAGCAGGGACTTGTTCATTGCACTGGGTCTAACAGTAGGTCCTCAACAAACTCATTAAGTTACTAAAGGTAGAGTGAGGCCTTGTAAACAGCTTCGGGACCTACGATTTTGGAGATAACTGTGTGGCCCTACAGGAAAGGAAGAGGGTAGGGAGGGGCACTACCCATAGATGGCGTCAGGCTGCAAGGCTTCTTGAATAATTCACCACCATAACAACGCAGCCTCAGGAAGGGTTAGGGCGCGGCCTGCCAGAACGACAAGATGAGGTAGGAGGGAGTGGAGATGGGGTTCCCAACGGGGCAATTTCCGGGCACTGAATGTTCCCTATCCCGAGGCTCCCACAGGAGGAAGCTCAAGAATGCAACTCAGCTTCCGTGAGCTGGACTCATTGACGGAATTCAATCTACCCCCACCCATTAGGGTCGGCTCGCGAGTGCACACCGAGGCGCATGCGCGCCTTTCGCTTCCCGCGCCCTCTTTTCGCGTAGACCCCCGAATACGCTTGCGCCCCATTTGGGCTACAGCTGGTCCACGGAAACAGTCCGTCCCTAGCACGGCCAATAAGACGTGCAGAAAGCACCTGCGTCCCGCCTCCTGACGATTGGAAGCGTGGGGTGGGGGGTGTCTCCCTTCCCTAGCGAGGCTCCGCCCCGCCCCGCCCCGCCGGCCCTATGCGTCTCGCGGCTGCGCGTGGTGGGGCTGCAAGCCTATCTCTGGCGCCGGCCCTGCTGAGCTTCCTTGTCTCACTCCGTCCACCCAGCTTTGCTGGTTGCGCTAGGATTTCCCTTTGCCACCTGTTGGGGCTGCTGTTTCGCTTCGCCGACGGTAGGCGTAATGGGTTTTGCACCGTTTGGATCTTAACGCTCCCTTCCCTGCGTTTGCACCTCACCTTTTTATCATCATTGTTATTATTAATTGTAGGGATGGTCATATTTTACTAATGAAGAAGAGGGGAAAAAAGTCTTTAAATCATCTCTACCCACTTGCTTTTTTGAGGGGTGGAGTGGAAGAAGGTCTATATAATTTTATCAGTCATCTGACAGATGTTCAGTGAGCACGAGACAGGTGCCAGGTGCTATAACTGATATTAAGTCGTTTGTACAATTAATTGCAACGGTAATAAGAGCTACAAAGGAAATGTAAGGACTGTGATCTTGTGTTACAGGAGTGGTGGGTGTCTGTGTGAAGGGGAAGAATTTCTTAGAGAAAATGACATATGAGCTGAATTCTGAAAGAAAGATGAATAGGCATTAACTAGGCTAAGTGGAGGTGAAGAGTGATGCATACTAAAGGAAGAACCTTTGTGAAGATTCTAGGGCAGAAAGAATGTAGAACAAGGGGCCAGGCCATGGCAGACTGCAGTTGGCAGCTGGTTTCCCTGCCTTGGCACTTACCTCTTAGTCTGATTTCTACACAGCAGCCAAAGTGATCTTTTAAAAATGTAAATCTCATGTTGCCACTTCCCTGGACCAAACTCTCCAGTGAATTTCCATCTTAGAACAAAATTCAGACTCCCTACTGTGGCCACCAAGGCTCTGCAGAATCTGACCCCCAACCTTTTTCTCCAAACACTTCTTACCACTGTCCCTTGCCCCTCACTCGCTCTGTCCAGCACTCCCTACCCCTTTATTTTGCTTCCTAGTTCTCATGGCCACCTGAAATTATGTTTTGTCTGCCACACCCACTAGAACATAACTCCCTAGAGCAGCTTATTCATTACTGTAGTCCCAGGATCTAGAACAGTGTCTGGCACATAATAGATGCCCAATTATTATTTGTCGAATGTGTGAATTGGGGAGCACATAGCAGGGGTACCCAGCTCATTCAAAGGTGTCAGGAAAATGGTAGTGATGGCAGGGACATTAAGGCTGAGGACTTGATGAAAAAGTGTTTTGGTTTTTTTTTTGAGGGGGGAGGTAATTATGTTTACTTATTTATTTATTCTTAGAGGAGGTACTGGGGATTGAACCCAGGACCTCATGTATGCTAAGCATGTGCTCTAGCGCTTGAGCTATATCCTCCCCCCAAGAGTAGTTATTCTTTCCAAGAAAGGGGAAAAGGAAAATATCATAGCAGAGGGGAGAGCAGAGGCAAGATGGAGTGTGGTCTATTAGAGAAAATGTGCTTGGAGCATATGGTCCAAGTGGAGAGGTGAGAAATGAGGCTGGAACAAAGATGCCAGGTCCCATAAGCCCTCTTAAAAGGCAGTGTGGCACCACTGAAGGATTTTAGAAGGGAGAGTGGTAGCTTCAGCATTTTTATTTTAGTTTAGTTCTTCTTGGAGAATGGATTGGAGGAGGGTAGGAGGCCAAGTGATAGATGTTTCAATAGTTTAGAAGAGAAATGCTGAGAAGAAGGGTTCAGGGAGAGGACAGAGTCAAGGATGAGCCCTAGGTTCTGGGGGGAAGTGGTGCTAATCATGGGGAAAGAGATCACAGGAGAAAGAGTGAGTTTGGCTGGAAGAGATGATGCTCTCATGATGGTCCAGCTGAAATATCTGTGAGACACCTGGAGGCAGTTCTGGAGGGCAGAGTCATATCACAAGAGTCCATCCCAGGAGAAGGATCGGGATTGGAGGTGGAAATTTTGGAACCAAAAGCAACTAGAAGATAATCAAAGCTGTGGGTTGTCTCTGTAGAGAGAATATGATGGATTAGAAGGCCCAGGACAGAACCCTGAGGAACAGACAGAAAGAGGAGGCGAGGAGGGAGGGTATAGCTTAGTGGTAGAGCACATGATTAGCATGTACAAAGTCCTGGGTTTAATTCCCAGGTCAGTACCTCCATTAAAAAATAATAATAAACAAATACATCTAATTACGCCCCCCCCCCAAAAAAAAGAAGGAGGCAAAACCTGTAAAAGACAAGGAACAGCCAAAGAAGTGGGAGGACATCCAAACCAGCAGAGTGTGGCATCATAAGAACAAGAGAGTGCTTCTGGAAGGGACCATGTGTCAACTGAGGTAAAAAGTCAAGTCAAAGAAGGGCTGAGCAGTACCCTTTGGACTTAGCAACAGAGGGCTTGTTAGTGACCTTGGCAAGAGCAAATCTGGAGCAGAAAGGGTCCAGAGTCAGTCCGTGGAGTGTAGGAAGTGCAAGAGAGAAGACTCATCAGGTGTAGCACCTCTTTCCAGAGGGTTGGCTAGAAGTAATATTACACGCTTTGTTGCATTAAGTCCTCGTAACAACCCTTGAGGCAAGAGTTTTGGAGACAAGGAAACTGAAACTCCGAGAAGTCAAGTAACTTCCCAATATCCCAGTTCTAGTCAATAATGACACAAGGATTTCAATCCTGTATAGCCACTCCTGTGGCTATGCTGAAATTCCTTCCAAGTTGCCTCTTCTTGTTTTGCCCCCTTTTTAAATTTTAATTGACGTATAGTTGATTTACAAAGTTGTGTTAGTTTCTGGTGTACAGCATAGGAATCAGTTTATATATATTCTTTTTCATTATAGGTTATTGCAAGATATTGAATATATTTTTCTGTGCTATACAGCAGGACCTTGTTTTTATCTATTTTATGTATAGTAGTTAGTATCTGCAAATCCCAAACTCCTAATTTATCCCTTTCCCCTCTTCCCCCTTTGGTAACCA